AGCTCTCTTTTATAACAGGTGTAGTTATAGCTTGAATTTACAAAAAGGTAATTTAAAACTAGTAGAAGAATTTTTATAATAATATTTCATATTAGCTCTCTTTTATAACAGGTGTAGTTATAGCTTGAATTTACAAAAAGGTAATTTAAAACTAGTAGAAGAATTTTTATTTTCTATATATGAAAATTTTATTTAATATATATATAAACTTATCTTCTAAGTATAAATATATATAATTGGAATATAAAGATAAATAAATAAGCTAATACCAAAAATAGTTATTAAATAATAGTGATTTTATATAAATATAAAAAATATTAGATATAAACAATTGCTAATATATACTTTGTATATAAAAGATACTTAATATTTGTTTAAATATTATATATTAATAAAGTTATATATTGTTGTATATTTATCTTAAAAAATAAAAATAATATCAAATCTAATAATATTATTAATTATAATAAAAAACAAGATAATAAAATATTTGTAAATAATATTTTAATTTAATTTAATATTAGATTTTCTTTTATTAATTATTATTATTTTTATTTTTTTTTAAGGTTAAATGACACTAGATGCAAATTTTTATTGGGATTCAATACTTATTACATTAAACATTCTTTATAATACATGACTACAATTAAATGTTAGCCTATTAACCTTTTTAGTTTGTGTCCAATGAGACAGGTTATACTTTTAAAGTGGCTTACCTCATTGGTCTCTCAGTTTGATCAACACTACTAGTAACAAGGATAAGGAAAATCTTATCTTTACAAGTGAAAACCTTCCCGGCAGTCTCCATTTCAACTTAATGGTCCTACTCTTTTCCAATGGGCCATTGATCCGGATTGTACCAACTTCTAGCAGGTTATAGGGCTGTGTGGGTGCAGGATAGCTATTTTTGAAGTGATTAATCCAATATATCCTAGTTATATTCTTTCATGTAATCTTGATTGACTAGGATTAACCTCTATATGGATGAATGGAATTGGTTAAGATGGAGTACAGCCCAGTCTGTACATCCAAATTTGACGTGATATTTTGTGTAATGTATTGTCAAGTTTAGCCAGAATTAGACCAGAAGTCTTTCTTCATACAATCCTTTCCTTATATAATTTGTTGCAACCTTGTAACCACTGGAAAGGCCAGAAGTCTCATCTTTATGCGATCTAATTATGAAGGAATTGTGATAAATTTTTGTAATCAAGTGGTTTGAACCCTAGACCTTTCACCTAATGATTTATGAAGCTTTACCACTGAGCTATAGATCCATAGGTTTCTTTTATTAATTATTTTAAAAATATATTTAAATTATAAAATATAAAGAAATTTTTATTTATTAATATAAACATTTTCTTTTATTTATTTTTTTTATTTTTAAAATTATAAGATTATATTAAGATAATAATTTGAATATAACAATTTTAATCTATATTATAAAATATATATTGTATTAGATAAATTAAATTAGAGTTTTTAATAATATTATTTTAATACTTAAATTTATTATAAATTTATATAAGTAGATTATAACTTATATAATAAATTTATTATAAATTGATATTATTTTAATATCAATTTGATATTAAAAAATATATTTGATTTATTTTTTTAATGATTTACAAGTTTGAAATAGATTTTTAAATAATTATCAAATATATATATAATATAATTCTAATTTTTAATAATATATTATACAAATTGAATGTTTGTACCAATATAAAAAAATTATATTGACTAAAAGAAAATATGCTTATAGGAAATTAGTAGTACAAATAATTAATACAAATAATATTAAAAAGTTTATATTAAGAAATTAGTAACAAAAATATATAATTTAAATGATATTTTTCTAAAATTTCTGGAAGAGAAAATATTTAAGAAATAATATTTTTATGGTATTTTTAGATCATATTATATAAATCATATAATATTGAATATTTAAAATACAAAATTATTATTGATACTTGATAAAATATCAATAGGATTTTTACTATTAATTTTATTTGACTTTTTTGAATTATAAGGAATATTCTTATAAATAGTTTAATACTATATTAATTAATTGCATTAATTAATATTTATTATTTATTATTATTTTATTATTTATTATTTTTATTTTTTATTACATGTATATTATTTCTGAAAAATCAATAATATTATATATATTATATTCAATTATATATTTTTGCTTTATTTATTTATATAAGGAAAAGTCTTTTATTTTATTTATTTTATATTAATTAAATATTGTTTTTGATTTTGTTAATGCAATATTAAATATTAACATTTTGAAATACACAGTATTGGTTTTTTTAATAAAATAAACTGATTGCAATTTTTGTATTACAATTTATAAACAAGAACTAATAATCAAATAGAAGATTACAAACAAATTAATAGTTCACTTACTTTAAATAATTGTCCGAAGGACATTAACAGTTAGACATCCTTTTACGCGTACTCTGTCTGTCCGCACGCGTTCATAAAGAACATTAAAGGCTAGGCATCCGTTTACGCGCATCCTGTCTTTCCGCACGCGTAATTCACCATGTGTTTATACACGTTTCATACTAAAAATAATTATCTGAGATCATTAATGGTATGTTATTAGATCGATGTTATGTATGCACAAGGCGTATGAAAATATTTTTACCGTATGCTATATGAAAATATGAAAAGTTACATATTAACGTTTTAAAAATAGCATAATTAAATCAAGGTTATAAATAACTATTATCGATCTTATAGACCATGGATGAATCCTTCGAACATTTCAACGGTTTCCGTTTCCTAGTTAATATAGGCAGATTAGAATATAACTCCTGTTAAATACATGTGAAAAATGAGGTTTTTTTTCAATATATATATTTTGTATACACAAATAAATAAAAAATGATTTTTATCGATTTTTAAAAAATTATAATAATATATAAAATCAATTTTTTAGAAAAATCAATTTTTTATGATTATCGATTAGAACATCCACAAAAAAAAAAAAGAAAAGAAAAGAGAAAAAAGAAAAAGCACATAAAGGTATTTAAATGTATTACGCATTATTAAATAGTCATAATATAATATAATGTTAATCTCAATAATATGTTCGTTTAATAACTACTAATCATCATCGATTAAATATAAAAATATACAATGCACGATACTGTATAATCAAGTTCGATAACTAATTTTGATAATAATTCCATATCCAAGAATTTCTGAATACACACAGTATACATACTCTATATTAACAAAAGTATTTTTTATGAGATGGCATTTATACAGTATGCGTGTTTCTAGTAATAGTAATCTATTCGGAAAAAAACAAAAATTATGTTAATTGGATTTTTAAAAATACAGTACAGTACAGTACAAAGTAACATTATACGAATAACTCAAACCAATCATTTTTAAAAGGCTGTGATACTTATAAGTCAAGATTAATACGTTTTTATTTATAAACATCCACTGTATGTAATTTTTCGATTGATCAATAGCGGCTTTTCATAACAAAAAATATAAATGTAAGAGGATTAATGGTGTTACCGAAAATTCTTGGTAGATATAGAAAATGAAGTTTACGTAATCTTAAAAGATAATTGTTAAACTCCGCAGCGTGCAGACAATGGAGCTGACATTTAAGGAAATATTACACAAATATTCTATTGTCCGACTTTTTAGTTCCCATGTGTTTACGACTACGGATCACTAATAATTGTTACTAGTAAGGATTATCTATTCCTATATCCACATGCAGATTGCTCTATCCCATGGGCTCCGTGCTCTATGTCCCGTATGTCCCCACAACAGTTCATCCTGGATAAACACTAGCACGCTGTTTTCTCGGCTTGTACTTCAGCCGCTGCCGGAATGCGTTATATGACCTATGTCAGCTTCGGGCTGTAGATCTTCACGTACATGTAATTCCTCGGCGGAGATCAGGGAGCCTTTGTATATTGAATTGTAATTCATTTTTATTTGAATAACCATTTTCGAAGGTAAACAGGATTTTTTTTGTATCCTGTAATTGTGTGATCCAGAATTTATAAAAGTAGGAACCAATTCTTCCATCTATAGAATAACCAAATAATCACAGTTTTGAATTACGTATTCTTGATTACGCAGCCAGAAAACCAACCGTAACGTGACTAAAAATTACGTATACTTTATGTATTTCACATGTAAGTAACACGTATATGTTGTACGCGTAAAACATTACACAAGATAAAAAGCAAGCGCAGTCAAACTGCACGTCAATATAAATTGGATATGTAAGACAATACACAAGAGTAAAAAAGGTAAGCGCAGACATAAACTGTCTCGGCTTTCAGTGATAGATTAGATTATAGAACTGCGCAGACGATCTATCAAAATCAACTCGCTAATTGTACACGGTTTGGTGATTCTGATTAGTCCAAAGGATTTCTCGTACGATGCTCGGTTGCATTACCGTCATCAACTGGTCCTTCCTCTCCTTGCATCATAGCCGTAATCTCCATCACCCTCGATTGTCTCACTTGCAATCCATTGTTTGGTAAATTACTATTAGCGGCACTGGATCCTGTTGAAGAATTGGAACATTCCTCAGATTCGGATGTTTCTCCTTCCTCTGGTTTCTCGTTTCTTGTCTCTAATAATTTGGTATTATATCCTTTACATAAGTGACATTTATGATACAGGAAATGATACTTTACGGTACTTCGTTCTTCGCAATCGTTGCACAAGATGTACGCGACGCAATGATCATATTCAGGAGGCATCTTCTGTTCTGCAACAATAGCATCGATGCGTTGAAAATAGAATTCCATGTTTCCAATAGATTTCCAACACGTTGGACATTGATACGCGTTTACTGTATATTCTTCGTAACAATTACTATGCATAATATGACCGCATCTCTAAGATAAAGTTTTTTTTTTCTTTGTTATCATTCATCATACGCGTAATCCGAACAATATTTACGCACACTCACCATAGTAGTCGTTGTAATAGTAGATGTAAATAGATATTCACCGCAAATGGCACAGTCACGATCCATGTTTTTTTCAATGCATTTGTGTGAGCCCTTCACATTAATGTCCAAGCAACAATCGCAAACTTCACAATGGAACTTGTCGATGCCCAATCCCACACCTTTGCGACAAATACCGCATGCATCACAATGATAGATATCTTTTTCGGATGAATCATCCCAGAATTTACATTTCTCACAATAATATCGGGCCAGTTCGCGATCGCAATTATTACAATTCTTGTTGACTGGTTGAACAGTTTGGCAATACATGCACATCATGTTTTGGGTGGCGTGTCTGAATGAATTTTGTAAAAAAAAACTTTAATTCCGGCCGAAGAGTTAAACAAACCAAACAGTCAGTTCCTTGCCTGTCAATATTATGATCGCATTCTTCATCATGACAAAATCGGCATGTGAACCATCCCTTGCAACATTCCGCTTGTATCTTTGCTCCCCGTGGATAATGTTTACATCCTAAAATTTTTGAATGTTCGCTCTAATAAAAAAAAAAATGCTCTTTAAATTAATCAATTTCCGGTTGAGCGTCATAAAGCTGACTTCTTACCACATAAGTAGGTTCATCATTGTGATCATAAGAGGGTTTGTTGTTTCCAAGCTTCTCTTCATTTTTTCTCCAATTGCTTGTCATCAAATCCTGCACCATAGAAAAACCATGGGAAAGTAAATGATGTGTTTCGCATTCGACAGAATGAAGGAACTTTTACCTGAATTTTTTTGGCTTTCTCCTCAGGATTAAACTTAAGATCATTCTGAATACCAAGAATCACTTTTCTTAGCTCATTTTGAAATTCAAGATCAACTTCTGCTGACGAGTTTGAAGTTTGTTCTGATCGCGTAGAACTTTCGTTAACTTGAATATTCTCATTTTCAACCGTGGTTACCTCATCCAAAACCTCATTGTCGATCTCGTTCTGATCTATTTGAAATAAAGAATAACTATTGGATGAACATTGCCTTTTTGAAAGAATATATTGCATTAAATTCACGAACCGGTCATGATGCGTCCAGTTCAAAGATTTTTACTGATGAAAGGAGTTATCTAAAGTAATCGTGTAACAATACATCCGTAGCGGGTAAGATCGTTAGCGGTTAAATTAGACCAATCAAACTTCACCGAAATAGTCTAAATGGAGCCTTAATTTTACCGAATTAATGTCTGGTACGCCAATTATAGATTTTATTATTGGATTTTCCGCGATGTCCGATTCCGTTGTACAGCGGCAAGCATCCCTCATAACAAATTTATATTGTCGTACACAAAGTATTCTTTAAACAAAAAAAATAACAGTATAAATAGAAGGAATTCCTTGGAATTTGGTTCATTGGGAATAGGGCCCTTATCAATAAGCTCTTTCTTTAACTTCCAAATTCTGATCATCGTTCTCGTCAATCAAATTTTGGAATCCCTTGACCCTTTGAATTCGTGAAATTATATCTGTCATTCGATTTATGCATTTATAGATCGGTTTTGTAACCGATCCATGACTTTAAAAGAAGATTATTTTAAGTTTTCGACTAAATAAATAAGCCAGATAAAAAAAAAAAAAAAACTAAGACTAAGTAAAACGATCAAAAATGTCGAATGAAGCAGAAAAGGATAATATCAATGCCGAAAAAGATAACATCAATGCCGAATCAGAAATAGACTTTTCGGTCGTTGACGCTCTTCCTCAAAAGGATGCGGATACCGAAGAAAAAAAAGAAAAACAAGAAGCCGTCCCACTCTCAAAATTGCTCCGCTTTGCCACTCCTGTAGAATACCTCTATATGTTCGTCGGGTCGATTGCTGCGTTGGCTTCCGGGGCGGCTCTGCCATTAATGACCATTGTATTCTCATCATTCATCACTTCGTTTTATGCATTTGAATACGCAAAAAATACTGGTATCGGCAAAGACACTGCTGAAAGTAAACTTAACGATGAGGTTAGAACAAAAGTATTCTACTTTATAGGTTTAGGTTGTGGCGTTTTTGTCTGTGCCTATACACATATGAGCCTGTGGATGATGTCAGGCGAGAGGCAAGCCAAGGTACCAATTTGACAAACTATTGTAACTTAACTATTCGTATCATCTACTAAAGTTCCATGTTTGTCAGCGTGTTCGTGAGCTGTACTTTGCCTCGATTTTACGTCAAGACATTGCTTTTTTTGACAGCTCTTCAACAGGTGACGTCACCACGCGCATCTCAGGCGACATCAGTGAGTTGATCTTGCGAATAGTGAATGACCATTCGTTTGGACGCGTCATTAGATCGTGATTGAACTCCCAATCTTTTTCTTTCTAGGCTTGTATCAAGAAGGCATCTCCGAGAAGGTCGGCTTGATATTACAGTTTTCAACAACTTTTATTACGGGTTTTATCATTGCTTTTACAAAAGGTTTATATATGATCTTGTATTTCTGAAATTATCGAATTTCATCGGTTTTGGTGAAAGTAACAAATAATTTCCTCTTTTTTAGGATGGAAACTTTCATTGGTTCTCTGTGCCGGTAATATTAATAGTACTTGCTTATCGCGTGAGGCATGATATACAGTACATGACTAACCCAATTTTATCTAGTGTTTCCTTTGATGGCCATAGCCGGTGGAATAATGGCTAAAGCTATATCAAATGATACTGCAAAGGGTTCGTGTTAATTTGATCTATCACAAGGTTATGACTTCTTTATCACTTCAGATTAGCTAACTTTTCTTTTTTCAACCCCAGGGCAAGGTTCGTGTCACACTTTTTTTGAGTCATTGATTCGTTTTATTTACAAAATACCTTCCACTTTCCAGATGCATATGCTGCCGCGGGAGGTGTGGCGGAACAGGCAATATCAGGCATAAGAACTGTGATCTCTTTTGGTGGTCAAGAACGCGAAATTAATCGTTACATGGCAAATTTGGAATATGCATATAAAGCGGGAAGAAAGAAGGCAATTGTTAGTGGAATTGGTCTCGGAGCAATGATGCTTATCATGTATGGCAGTTACGGTCTGGCCTTTTGGTACGGCAGCATTTTGATCGTCAACAACGATATGTCGGGTGCAGATGTATTAAACGTATTCTTTGCTATCTTTATCGGTGGTAAGTAACACCTCGAGATTCTTAGGTTTCGTGCCGTTAAATTGTTTCCCTACTAACGCGTTTTACTTCAATAAGCTTTCTCCGTTGGTAATGCTGCGCCTCATATAACTTCGGTTGCAAACGCTTTGGGCGCAGCTTCAAAGTTGTTCGCTGTCATTGATCGCGTGCCCCCGATTGACTCCTCCGATGAATCGGGAAAGAAGTTGGTCAAATCTGAAGTTCGAGGCCGAATTGAATTTAAAAACGTCGATTTCTGGTACCCGTCTCGTCCCGATGTCCAAATTTTAAAGAATTTCAATTTAGTCATTGAACCTGGTCAGACTGTCGCCCTGGTTGGTCCTTCGGGAAGTGGAAAATCAACTATCGTTAGCTTGCTAGAAAGATTCTACGACCCGTCTAAGGGAAGCATCACAATCGATGGTGTAGATATCAAGCAAATCAATATCAAATCATTGAGGAGGCAAATTGGTCTTGTCGGTCAAGAACCAATTCTCTTCCCCGAGACTATCACGAAAAATATCATCTGGGGAGGCGATCCATCGGAAAAAGAACCTACCATGGAAGACATTATCGAAGCCTGTAAGAAATCCAATGCATACGAATTCATTAACGAATTACCAAAGAAATATGAAACCTTAGTTGGTGAGAAAGGTGCTTTACTGTCCGGTGGGCAAAAGCAAAGGTAAATTGATACTCCGTAGATATATTGCCAAATGTTCATAACCGCCGTGAAGTAATCTAATTATGATGATCATCTGTATGCAGGATTGCTATCGCTCGCGCATTAATTAAAGATCCGCCCATATTGTTACTGGATGAAGCGACTTCGGCTCTTGATAGCGAAGCGGAAAGAATCGTACAAGACGCATTGGACAATGCAGCAACAGATCGTTAGTATCATGAATTTTCGATTTTTATAATTTTTTAAGATGAGCCAAGATGTATTAAAATTTAAAATCCCTTTTAATTAAAGGTACATCAATCGTAATTGCTCATCGCTTGTCCACTATTAAGAATGCCGACAAGATTGTTGTAATGACCAAAGGAGAAATTTGTGAAGTTGGTAAACATGAAGAGTTGATTGCAAAGAAAGCTGAGTACTACGCGTTAGTTAAAGCACAGGAATTAAAGACACAAAAAGCGAACACCGAAGATGATGAAGATGATGAATCCAGTGTTGACAGTCAGCCCAATGACGATGATACGGCAATCCTCATGGAAGAGAAGGGAGGTAAACTCATACGTCGTGTGACTACCAGAGCGTCAACGGTCAAAACAGACGAAGAGCTACGCGAAGAAGAGGATGCTATAAAATCGAAAGAAAAGACGCCTTTCGGAAGAATAGCCAGATTATGTAGACCGGAATACGGACTCATATTTATTGGAATACTTGCTGCCACAGTTAATGGCGTTGTGGTAAATATCTATTTTCATTTGCTTGCGAGTTGGTATTCAATAAGCCGTATTCCCTAATTTCTCGCTCGTATAATTTTTATAAGATGCCTTCATTCGCACTGATTTTCTCTTCGATCATGCAAACTTTCTCGAGAACCGATGAGTATGTATTTTTTTGACATGTTAATACTTAATGATTCAGAAAGAGTAATAACAATATGGTTGATTACAATGCATAGTCCCGATCGGTTGCGAAGAGAATCAAATTTCTGGGCCGGTATGTTTGCGGTGTTAGCGATTGTCAGCTTCTTGACAAATTTCTTCCAGTTGTCGATGTTTATAACATCCGGTGAACGCCTTACAAAACGTCTTCGAACTTTTACGTTCAAGGCTCTTATGAGACAAGAGGTTGCTTACTTTGATGACGAACGTAATGGAACCGGTATCTTGACCTCAAAATTAGCAGTCGACGCATCCAATGTCGAAGGTAACAATGTTCAAAGATGTTTCATAAAGACAGATTAATTTTAGGCGCGAACTAATTTTTTTTCTGTATGATAGGGTTAACTGGTTCATTGATGGGATCAATTTTTCAAAACGTCATAAACTTGGTAGCCGGTCTCGTAAGTAGCAACTTTAATTAACATAATTGAAACTTTTATATCGCAAAATAATCATCGTGCTCGTCTTTCCTTTAGGCCATTGCTTTCGTATACGGTTGGAAGCTGACTTTGGTGATTCTTGCCTCTGCACCCCTCGTCGCAGCTGCTGGATTTTCAGAAATGAAAACTCTAGCCGGTTTTGGTGCAAAGGTATGCCGTGTGCTTATATTAATCGCTTTTCCTAATATATACTTACTCTAGTCTTTCACAGACTCGGAAAGCTTATGAGAACACTGGACAAATTGTACATCAAAGTGTATCTAACATGCGTACGATCGCTTCTCTAACTCGCGAAGATACCTTCAAAGATATGTACTATAAGGCAATTAGGGAACCCCACAAATTAGCCATAAAGGGTGCCTTATTATCAGCAATCGGCTTCGGTAGCTCTCAAGGTTCCTTATACTTTATTTGGTCTCTTGCTTTTTGGTATGGAGCACAATTGGTTAAGACTGGAGAGTACACCTTTGACCAAATGATTCACGTCCTATTTGCTGTCATATTTTCTGCTATGGCTCTTGGTCAAATGTCGTGAGTATTAATCGGAAACTCGTAGTAGTTATAAATTTTATAAATCTTATTCTTACCACATTGAAACCTTTATACTAACCAAACGTTTCACATATGTATATTAAAAAATAAAGTACCTTTGCTCCAAACACGGCAAAAGCAAAACTTGCAGCAATATCAATTTTCCAGATCCTCGATCGTAAATCAGCCATTGACCCAACCGATAATGAAGGTAAAGATCGTCCTATGCCCATAACGGGAGAAGCGGAGCTTCATGACGTGCATTTCAACTATCCCGCAAGACCAGGAGTTCACATTCTTCGTGGATTTGATGCGAAAGTCGATGCCGGAAAAACGATTGCACTAGTTGGTCCGTCGGGATCTGGTAAATCAACAACTGTGGCATTGTTACTAAGGTTTTATGATGTCATCACCGGAGAAGTTAATGTCGAAGGTGCAAACGTGAAAAACTGGAACCTTGAATATTTGAGGTCAAACATGGCACTAGTTGGACAAGAACCAGTACTTTTTGATTTGACAATTGGCGAAAACATTGCATATGGAAAAGATGGATGTTCAAAAGATGAAATTATTGAGGCTGCAAAAAACGCCAACATTCACAACTTCATTTCGAAATTACCGGATGGTTATGATACGCGCGTTGGTGAGAGGGGATCTCAATTAAGTGGCGGTCAGAAACAGGTAATTTCGAAAATTAGCTAACGCCGTTAAGAAATACTTTTTTTCCAACTAAATAAAAATTTATATTTTGTTCCTATAAAAAAGAGAGTGGCAATAGCAAGGGCCATAATTCGATCACCTAAACTCTTATTACTTGACGAGGCGACATCGGCCTTGGACGCCGAATCCGAAAAGGTTGTTCAACTTGCTTTAGATAAAGTAAGCAAGGGTCGAACCACACTGGTTATAGCGCATAGATTGTCTACGATCCAAGATGCAGATTTAATTCTAGTATGCAAGAAAGGAAGGGTTGTCGAAAGTGGTACTCACCTTGAATTATTCAATCAAAGAGGATTATATTATGAGTTGGTTAATAAGCAAACTTTGATGAAGCAAAGTTAACCGACGAAAAATAAAATATTATTGGAAGTGCTGCTGTGTTTATTGATTCTATTTATTGAAAAAATTTTAGTTATAATTTTGAGATAATAATAAAAAAGCTAGCTATAGACTTAATACTTAATTTTCATAAAATGTAAAAATAGTTGATTATGGACTCTGCCTTCATTTCGCGCGCAAAGCATAATACAGTATGATTTTTTAAATTTAAAATAGTTCATTTAAATTATTGAAGGTTGATATACTGTAGACTATACGTTCAAGTCCAAAAAATTAAATTTATATTTTTATTAAACCATAAATATCTTTATTTAAGATATAAAGAATATCGAATTTTACATTAATCGTAAAAAATATTAATCAATTATTAAAATTATTTGATATAGAAATTGATTAAATGTGCATTCATAAAACTTTAAAATTTACTGAATGTTTTTATAATAATAAAGTTCACCTATTTTCTTAACAATATTGATTTTTTTATAATAATAAAGTTCATCTATTTTCTCAACAATATTGGTTTTTCAATTAACTGCATAAGTAATAACAATCATTTGTTTTTTTGTTCTTTTCAAAAATGCTTTTTTTAGTTTTATAAAAGAAAACTTATATAAAAAAACCATATTTCAAAGATTTTCATAAGATTCAATATCCAGAAAAGAAAAAAAAGTTCTAGGTTTTTATATTTTCTTTTAGTTTTTTTTTTTTCTTTATTTTAATATTTTTTTTTTTTCAATTGTTTTGAAATTTTATGTTTATTATCATTTAATTATAAATTTTGATTCAATTTGATCTTTTTAAAAAACATAATTATATTATATATTAGTATTTATATCAAAATTTTTTTTCAAGATTTTAAATAATATTAAAATGGTATTAATTTTATAATAAATTTAATATATAGGTTATAACTCATTTATATAAATTTATAATAAAATTAAATATTAAACTATATTAAAATAATATTAAATTGATATCAAAATTAAGGTTCCAATCAGTATCAGTATTAATTTTTAAGTTTAAATACCAAATTAAAATTTTCAATAAAATACTGATTGGTTTAGTTACTTTTTAAAAATACTAATCAGTAAAGTATTGGTTAATAAAGTATCAATTAGTTTTGATATTTTCTAAAAGTAATAATAAATATTAAGTAAAGATTTTTAATATATAAATATATTATAAAAAAAGTTATTTTATTGTTATTAATTATTTTTTTTAAAATGGAAGAATTCGATACTTATATTAAGTTTTCAAAAGAAATTACTTTATAAATTTTGAACATAAAGAATTTCAAAATAGTTTTAATAGTAATGAAATATTAGATACCGAAATAGCTAGTATTTTAACAAATAGCAGTATTAAAAAATATCAAAGCTAGGTCTGGGCCCATTTTACTTTTAATGAAAATTTATAAAAACTCCAATACAATTATTGTAATCAATTTATTCAATCAAATAAAGGTAATACTATTGATATGACCAAATATCTTAAAAATAAATATTCTTTGCAACTTGAAAAAAACAATCAACAATTAATATTAAAAGAAATAATATAAAATAAATTAGTTCTGATAAGTTATATTAAATATTTATTTAATTTCAAATTAAAAAAATATTAATTTATTTTTAGACATATAGTACAAAAAATTTTTGACAATTATTTATAAAATGGATTATAGTTAATGACCTTCTTTTTACAAGTGTTGAATCTTTTAATTTTAAAAATATGATATCTATTTTATGAAATAGAGCTCCAGTTCCTTTAGCCAATACAGTTAAAAATAATATAATAATATCCTTTAATAAAAATAAAAAAAAAATACAACAATTTTTATAAGTAATTATATTATATTTAATAAACAAAAATTTATTGAACTTATATTTATATTTATATTTTTTATAGAAAATACCAAATAAAATTTCTTTTACTGTCAATACTTGGATCTTATCAAATAATTTGCCTTTTTTAGGAATTATAGCACATTGGATTTCTAAGGATTGGGAATTAAAAAATTTGTTTTTGGATTTTATTAAACTCGAAGGATCACATTCAAGTGATAATATTACTGAAGATTTTTTAAAAAGTCTTAATAAATATAATCTTTTAAATAAAGTAAGTTATATTTTATATTTAAATAAATAAATATATTTACTTATTTAATTTTTTAAATAGATTTCTAGTATAACAATTGACAATACAAGTAATAATATAATATTTCTTAAAGCAATTGAAAAAACATTAAAAAAAAATAATATTGAATTTAATGCCAACAATCAACATATATAATGTCTTGTACATATTATTAATCTGACAATACAAAAAATATTACAAACATTAAATGCTAAGAATAATATTATTCAAGATAATAATAATATATTACAAAATAATAGCAATATATTATAAAATGATACAAATATAATTGCTGGTCTTTTATTTAAAGTAAGTTTAATATTGTTTTTATTTAAATAATTATAGAAATTATAATTATTAATAAATTAATTTATTTTTTAGCTTCATAAACTTATTTTTAAAATTAGAGCATTACCACAACAATGAGAAAAATTCTTTACCCAATGTCAAGTAGCTGGAATATCTAATAAAATAGTTATATTGGATATTAAAACATGATGAAATTCACTATATGATATGTTAACTAGAGCTTGTAAACTAAAAGAAATAAGTTAATTTAATTAATTTGATTATATATAAACAATAATATTTAAATTTTATTATTTTAGCCATTAAATATATTAAGTAATATCAATTCCAATCTTCATGATTTTATAATTAATAAAAATAAGTGGATATATTTAGAAGAAATTAAAAAATTATTAAAAGTAAGTAATAATTTTA